TTGGTTCAGTTCAGTTCAGTAGCTCAGTCATGTCTGACTCTTTGAGACCCCATGGACTGCAGCACACCAGGCTGCCCTGTGCATCACCAACTCCTGGAGCTTACTCAAACTCATATCCATTGAGTCGGTGATGCCATCCAACCGTCTCATCCTCTGCCATCCCCTTCTCCTCCCGCCTTCAATCTTTCCCAACATTAGGGTCTTTTCAGATGAGTCAGTTCTTCATATCAGGTGGCCAAAGACTGGAGCTTCAGCTTCAGCATCAGTCCTTCCAATTTCAGGACTGATTTCCTTTAGGATTGACTGGTTTGATTTCCCTGCAGTTCAAGGGACTCTCAAGAGTCTTCTCCAACACCACAGTTCAAAACATCAGTTCTTCAGCACTCAGCTTTCTTTATTGTCCAACTCTCACATCCATGCATGACTACTAGAAAAACCATAGCTTTGACTAGATGGACCTTTGTTGGCAAAGTAATGTCTCTGCTTTTTAATATGCTGTTTAGGTTGGTCATAGCTTTTCTTGCAAGGAGCAAACGTCTTTTAATTTCATGGCTGCAGTCACCATCTGCAGGGATTTTCGAACCCAAGAAAATAAAGTCTCTCACTGTTTCCATTGTTTCCCCATCTATTTGCTATGAAGTGATGGGACTGGATGCCATGATCTTAGTTTTTTGAATGTTGAGTTTTAAGCGAGGGTTTTCACTCTCCTCTTTCATTTTCATCAAGAGGCTCTTTAGTTTTTCTTCACTTTCTGTCATAAGGGTGGTGTCATCTGTATATCTGAGGTTATTGATGTTTCTCCCAGCAATCTTGATTCCAGCTTGTGCTTCATCCAGGCTGGCATTTTACATGATGTACTCTGCATATAAGTTAAAAAAGAAGGGTGATAATATACAGCCTTCACGTACTCCTTTCCCAATTTGGAACCAGTCTGTTGTTCCATGTCCAGTTCTAACTGTTGCTTCTTGACACGCATATAGGTTTCTCAGGAGGCAGGTGAGGTGGTCTGATATTCCCATCTCTTTCAGAATTTTCCACAGTTTGTTGTGATCCACACAGTCAAAGGCTTTGGTATAGTCAATAAAGCAGAAGTAGAAGTTTTTCCAGAACTCTCTGCTTTTTCTATGATCCAACAAATGTTGGCAATTTGATCTCTGGTTCCTCTGCCTTTTCTAAATCCAGCTTGAACATCTGGAGGTTCTCAGTTCATGTACTGATGAAGCCAGCTTGGAGAATTTTGAGAATTACTTTGCTAGCGTGTGTGATGAGTTCAACTGTGTGGTAGGTTGAACATTCTTTGGAATTGCCTTTCTTTGGGATTGGAATGAAAACTGACCTTTTCCAGTCCTGTGGCCACTGCTGGGTTTTCCAGATTTGCTGACGTATTGAGTGTAGCACTTTGACAGCATCATCTTTTAGGATTTGAAATAGCTCAGCTGGAATTCCATCACCTCCACTAGCTTTGTTCATAGTGTTGCTTCCTAAGGCCTACTTGACTTCAGACTCCAGGATGTCTGGCTCTAGGTGAGTGATCACACCATCATCATTATCTGGATCATTACAGTCTTTTTTGTATAGTTCTTCTGTGTATTCTTGCCACCTTTTTTAATGTCTTCTCCTTCTGTTAGGTCCATGCTGTTCCTGTCCTTTATTGTGCCTATCTTTGCTTGAAATGTTCCCTTGGTATCTCTAATTTTCTTGAAGAGTTCTCTAGTCTTTTCCATTCTGTTGTTTTCCTCTATTTCTTTGCGTTGATCACTGAGGAAGGCTTTCTTATCTCTCCTTGCTGTTCTTTGGAACTCTGCATTCAGATGGGTATATCTTTCCTTTTCTCCTTTGCCTTTAGCTTCTCTTCTTTTCTCAGCTAGGAGATCAGTGAATCCTAAAGGAAATTAATCCAGAATATTCACTAAAAGGACCGATGCTGAAGCTGAAGCTCCAATCCTTTGGCCACCTGATGTGAAGAGCTAACTTCTTCTTAAAAACCCTGATGCTGAGAAAGATTGAAGGCAGGAGGAGAAGGGGATGACAGAAGATGAGATGGTTGGATGGCATCACCAACTCAATTGACATGAGTTTGAGCAAGCTCCAGGAGTTGGTACAGGCCAGGGAAGCCTGGCGTGTTGCAGTTCATGGGGTTGCAAAGAGTCGGACATGACTGAGTTACTGAACTGAGATAGCACCAGGACCCTGCCCCAAGGCTGCATTGTGTTTCCTGGCTAACCCTCCCCTGTCTCCGCATCCCCTCCCTTCCCTGATTAGCAACTGTTTGAATCTGCCCTTTGGAAATCAGGGAAGATCATGGAGGCTGGTGTCTGTTCCCTACAAACAAGGCATGGGTAAGGGCTGCTGGCACAGAAAGGCTCCTGTGCCCAGGAGCCCCGCAGGGTCCTTCTCAGTTTCATGCGTGCATGCATACTAAGTCACTTCACTGTGTCTGACTCTTTGTGACCCTATGGACTATGGCCCACCAGGCTCCTCCATCCATGGGATTCTCCAGGCAAGAATACTGCAGTGGGTTTCCGGTTCATACTCCAGGGGATCTTCCCAACCCAGGGACTGAATGCGTATCTCTTATGTCTCCTATATTGGCAGGGAGGTTCTTTACTGCTAGCACCACCTGGGAAGTTTCACTAGGTATATACATATGAAAACATATATCCATCCAAAAACTTGGACAAGAATATTCATAGCAGCATTATTCATAATAGCCAAAAAGTAGAAGCAACCTAAATGCCCATCAACTGATTCCATTTATATAAAATATTCAGAATAGCCAAATGGATAGTGAAAGAATGTAGATTAGTGATTGACAGGGGCTGGGAGGATTGGGGTTGATTGCTTAGGGGTGCAGGGTTTCTTTTTGGAGTAGTGAAAGTGTTCTAAAATTGATTATGGTGATGATACACAACTCTGTGAATATACTAAAAACCTCTGAATAATACACTTTAAATGGGTGAGTTACGTGATATGTGAATTATATCTTGATAAAGCTGTTAAAAAAATGTACCCATTCTTAAGAGTAAATAAAGTGAATTATTTGTTCATTATCATGAACAGCTTATCTGAAATACTCTGGTATTTATTAGAATTTATAATGGATATTTTCAGACACAGGTCAGTTACTAACTTCATTGGACTATCACTTGTTCATTCTGAAGAGGGGTAATTAGGAAACCAGAAGAGAAATGAGACTATGTTGGGAATGGTTTAAGCATTTTCTTCTTTGCAGGTATGACATTCCTGTGTTTCTGTCAGGTCTCTTACTTTAGAAATAAACCTCGGTTTTCGTTACCTGGTTCCTGGCTGCTTATGTTGCCCAAATGGTGACTGACGGTGGGACTTCCCTAAGAAGTTCTTGACTGGAAGCTTTGCCTCCTGGGGGTCTTAAGTGTCAATTAGAATGCTCATCTATTAGCCTCTGAATATTATTACGTCATATGGATGTGAATTGACTTGTGTTTAGGCACAGGAAGTGAGTTTTCCTCCTACTTGCTTTTTATTTTATTCAGAATTCATCAATTCACTTGAACTATAGCAGTATATTATAGAAAAACAAAACAATAACCCCCCAGTATATGGTGCATAAATCTTTTTATTTAATGATCTTACTGATATATGTTTCTTTCTTTCCTTTTTTTTTTTTTTTTTTTAATCTTGTTCAGCATATACCAAGGAAGGCATGACTGACAATGCAGTCTGTGTTCTACCGAGTCTGGTGCTTTGCATTAGTCCCATATCGGTGTCTGGCAGGGAGAAAGAATCCTGAGGAGTCGGGAACAACTTTCTTATTCCTCATGAGACAACCTCACAGTCTGTTTTTTGAAGTATTGTAAATTCTTAGCCAGACAATCCCTCAAACTCATGTTCAAAGGCAAATACCAAAGCATATCCTGAAACCAAATATAAATGAATTTTAGATTGGCTGCCATTTTAGCTGATACACATCACTGCTCCCCTCATCTTGATTCTTGCACACTTGTCAAAGGAGCTGGAAGCTCTAACTCAGTGGGTGTTTCAGAAATATGAAATAAATGCACTTTTTATATTTCCCAAGATGGTTAGATAGCATCACTGACTCAATGGACATGAATTTGAGCAAATTGCGGGCGGTAGTGAAGGACAGGGAAACCTGGCGTGCTGCAGTCCGTGGGGTCGCAAAGAGTTGGACATGACTTAGTAACTGAACAACAACAACAACGAGAGGACATTACATATCTTGTAATCCCAGCAAAGACTGGCTGAGTGCATAAACACAGCCAATCACAAAGCAAGGATGGCTGTGAAGGTGAAACCCTGTGTCCTGCTGGCCAGTCCACTCCTGCACTACTGTACTCTTTCCTTATAGAAGCTGAGCTGGTGACCACATCATGGTGTGGTCTTCAGAGGACAGTGGCCATCTCATTTCCTTTGTGACTTGACTTTCTGAGAGTCTACGTTTTATGGGACTGTGGATTTGGTGTATGACACAGGTCTAATGACCAGATGTGCTGTTTCTTTGGTGTTTCCATGATCGATATTCTTGTAAATCCCTTCAGGAATTTTAATACTGTTCAATCTGTATTTAAATTATTAAATCTGACAGTAAGAAGTAGGACCCTTGGCAGAAATTGAATATTTGAGAACGACCAGTTAACGAACACCTAAACAACTTCATAGAGCAGGCAAGAACAGATCTTTCAAGCAAAAGGGATCTGTCCTTATCTCCGAGTAACTGGTGTCGGGATGCCAAACCCCAGAACTGCCATTAGTTTGGATATTGTGTGTTAGTTTACTGGAGAAGTGGGCTGTGATGTTAATGTGATACAGATCATTCTTTCTGTCCTTGTCCCAAACCTGTCATCCTGCAGAGCTCCTGCACGCAGTCATATCCTGCTGTTAGGCACCAAGGCACACCAAGGAACTCTAGCCAGTAGGCGTTTGTGGCAAGAGGAACAAAAAGCTGATAAAAGTCTTACCTGTTTTTGTTTTCTCTCTCCCATCTGCTACATCCTTACCAGGCAAAAGTAGAGGAAAAGATCCAAGAGGTCTTCAGTTCTTACAAGTTCAACCACCTTGTACCAAGGTAAGCTGTGGTTAGCAGTCTGAGTGGATCTGGGAAATACCATCTCCCGTGGGAGCCTTTCTTCTTTCCTCCTTGAGCTTGGCCAACCTCGGGGTGTTGCAGCTGTGAGGCTGGTGTTTCCTCACCTTGCGGCTCCCTGGAGATGCTCCTGACCCCAGCTCCTGCCGCTATTAGAATACCGACTGGAGGAGCTGTGCACTTGAGCTGAGCCATCAGGTGTTACATGGGGATCCCCGTCAGGGCCTGAACTCTGAGCTCTGATGATGGCTGGAGAGAGAGAAAAGCTTGTGATCCTGCAGCTTGGTTCTGAGCCTCTGCACTGGTGTTCAGAACTCTCAGGTTTTTCTTTTTCATATAACACTTTGAAACAGATATAGTGTCAGGGGGATGGCAAAGGATAGATTGCTTTAGTGTATGTTATGACATGACTGGGAAAATGTGGGACGTTTGAGCCTCTCCCAGCCTGGCCCTTGTTGGTGACTGTGCAGCAGATTCTCAGGGCCACATTTTAAGTGAGAAATACAATGCCTTTTGTTATCCTTGGTGCTTAGCAAGTTGAAGCCTTCTAAGCTCTTTTGAGGCAGAAATTCCAAAAGGGGGATTATAAACAGAAACTTATTAATTTGAACCTTCATTTCCTCTCTCCCCCCCACCACCCCGCCCAGTTTCGTAATGTATCACACTAGAATTTCATAAGGGCATTTCTCTTCTAATCACAGATTGCTTCTCTGAAACCACGCTGTGCAATCTTTCCTCATCAGTAGTTCAAATTGTGTTTGTTCATCGTTTTACTTTGATGTTACAGTACTTTCCCTAGACAATCTCTGAACATAGAGTAGTTGGGCTGCTGGCTGGTTCTCTCTGGTTGGGAAGCTTACTGGTGTAAAATCTGGCCTGACCTTGTTCACGTCTCCCGACCTCCTGACACCTCCTCACACGCTGACTCCTGGCAAGTCAGTCTCTGGGTGCTTCTACTTACTGGAGCATTACAAATGTTTCTAGCCTCAGTTAACTTTGCGTCTATGTTTTTTGTCCCTATTTCCCTAAAAAAGAAGTTTCGCTAGAAAACTCTGATTCGCCAAGACAGAAAAGAGTCAGAAAAAGGGAAAGCTAGGTGGAAAAATTCTCTTCATCTTCCTTCCCCGGAGAAGGAAAGCATCAGCTAACCAGAGAAGTCTTTTTCCAAACTGCTAACCTAAATTTCTACATTAACCCAAAGCCCCGACCTCAGAAAATGAATTGTTGCTCTTGTCTTGAGTGGCAGCTGGAGCTTAGCAAATGACACCATTTATGTAAACAGCTCAGGGAGAAGGAGCCCTCTGGCCAGGACAGGCTGTTTTCCCGGAGGTGGTGGGACTTGGTGATGGTGTGGGGCACGGTGGCTTCAGGGAGGTTTTGTGGTTAGAGTTGCACTTGTTCTCTGAGTCTCTGTCCACTGTGGACATATGTCCTCTGTGTTCCCCAAAGGACCTTTGATCATTTGACATTCCCTTGTCACCCACCATCAGAGTAGAGGCCTTGGGCTTTCCTTTTATCTTCACTGAGATGGGAGGGAGAATGGGAGTTTATAATCTGAGAAGAAGCTGTGTTTGGGGAGTGGTAGTGGAGGACAGTAAAGGAGGGAAATCCCTGATTCCTAGGTCTTTAGGTCAGATGTGGGTAGAAAACAAAAAATGTTCCTCCTTTGTGGAAATAGAATACATCAGAGCTCTGGGTTTATTTCAGGAATCTGACATTTCCCATTTTATCATTGTTGCCTATGAAAATGAGTGTTTTAAAGGATGCTAATTAGCATCTTATATCACAGCATGCTAATTAATATTACAGACATTACACATTGTGGGTGAGTAACTGAGAATGTAAATCAGCTTATCAATATAAGGCTGGAGCCAAAAATCTTCACTGTAGAATGAACTTCCGGGACATAAGAAATATGAAAATTTAATCAGCATTTTAAATTACTATCACAATTACAGTATATTTAACATTTCATCAGTAAGATTTTAAAATTCTGGTATTATATTGCAGGAACAAGCCTTCCTTGTTAGCTAAAGTGAGCATTCAGATATTAGTGATTAATCTAGGTGACACAGCTCATTTGTGTCTCTGAGGTCATGCTGTTGATTGGATGTGATAGAAACACACTCACACTCCCGAGACCACTGACCACGCCCTGGTCCAGGGATGTCAGGAATGATGCTGAGGAGGCATCCGTCTATTCAGCCTTTCAGAGCCACTGCCAAGTAGAAGATTTGGCTGAAATTCAAGGCTGAAGCTGAATGTTGTTACATCCTACCATTTATTCCTCATCACAGAAATGGTTTTTCTTGCTCTCAGACTGTGAAACATGCATCTTCTCTGGAGTGAGGTGGTCCATCCCAAGAAGCCTTTGGACCATGCTTTGAACAGTTTTGTCTGTCAGCATCCTGCTTTCCCATAAAAGTTAATTTTTCCTTCCCTCTGGTTAGTCATTCTCACTGTTTCATATGCTTACGGATTTACTTTCTTCCATGTACTATATATTAGCTCTAGTAACAAACCTGAAATTCATGAACCACACACACACACTCACATAGTCACATAAAATTTTTCATTGTTCCATGATGACCTAGTTGTTAGGATTCTGGGCTTCCACTGCTATAATCCAGTAACCCAGGTTCAATCTCTGCTCTGAGAACTGAGATCAATCAAGCCATGTGTCATGGCAAAAAAAAAAAAGAGAAACTAGAAAAGAAACCCCAATTTTTTTTGCGGGGGGTGGTGGCGGGGATGTAGCTTGCTGCTCCTTGGAAGGGGGAAATAATTGGTAATGCTTAACAGAGCGCTGAAGGCTAAGTGTTGGCAGTGTTTCTGAAGCCAGAACACTCTGGGTTAAGCTCTCAAAGCAGTTCTCACATGGGCATCTGCTCAGCTTCCATGTTTTCTGTCTTTTCTGTGTGTGATGCTTGCTTTAGCATTTCCCAAATCCTGAGCAGTTAGAAGATGTGGTCCTTCACACTGTTGTTCTATCCAGGCTCCTTACAAGTTAAGTTCATCTTCCCTCCCACCCTCCCTTGAATGACTTATTACTTACGTGCCAGAAGTGTACTTTTTGACCAGAGAAGCCACTGACTTTAGTGGGCTCAAAACCCTCCCAGAGGCCAACAGTGGACCGAATCCCTTTTCTCTCATCTGTCACAAACAGATGCTCAGGGATGGTCCAGGTTTAGGGGGAGGGAGTGTGTTTGCTCTCCTTCAGTCTCCCATGTTCACTGAAAGTCATTCGTTCCTTCACCCATCTGGAAACAGTTTCTAGGGGGTCAGGCCCTGCCAGGCTCTGGGAACAGAGTGTGTGAGGCTGACCTAGGACCTGGTCCTGCTGGGAGCAAATTCTGGGCTTGCCTTCACCTGGCTTGGGCCTCTAATTCTCCTGTCAGTTCTCTAGTGAGTCCCCACCTGCTCTGTTAATGGTCTCTTGCACTCTCCTGGTTTTTCTTGTCCACCACACCCATCCTGGCCATACCTGCGTGATGAGCTGTCAGGAGTGTACCGGCCTCATTCCATTCCCTCCCACCTCTGCCTTTCCACTCTTCCTGGATCGCCAGCCCTCACCAGGGCATTGTTGCTGCTTCTGCTAAAGGGTCCTAGCAGGACTGCCAAGAAAAATTATTCATCAGTGCCTTCTGCGTGGCTTCATCAGAAGTTCATATTCCTCAGCTTCAGCTGGGCCTCCACTCCTGTTTATTATTGCTTATTTGTCTTGGGTAGATTTGCTAACACATTCCCCACGATGACCATCCCACACTCTCCCATGGTCTTGCGTCTTCATTGAGAAAACTGAGGCATCCCACATGCTTCCTTGGCATCTCTATTCCCTACTTCAGCCTCCTGTGCCTGGCTTCACACTCTCCCGTTGCTTCTGAGAATGGAGCCTTATTCATTATTGTTAGGCTTACCTTACCTCTCCTGACATCCTCACCTGATTACACTGCCAGTGCTTTAAACCCCACCTCTCACCCGGGACCTCCTTGAAAAAAGAAATCGAGTTTCTTCTGTACGATCTGGAATCTGCCCTCCCCACCCCCAGGACTCTCTTGACGTTTACCAGCCGCTCTGTAGGGTGTCCTCTCCTCAGTCTCACCGCAGCCCCTGCCACGGTGACATGTCCACACCTCCATGAAACGCTCTCCGCCCGCTCTGCCTGTGACACGACCCTGCCTCGGTCCCTCCCCTGCGCGTGCTGCCCTTTACTTCTCTCCTCTGGCTCCTTGTCCTCCAAGCCCTTAAAGATGTCGTCTTCCCTCGGCTCTGCCTTTAAGCGTTTCTCTCTGCCCTGTCTTCTGCTTCTGCAGCTTCAGCTGTCATCTGTGTGCAGGTAAATGACTCCTGGTTCATCTGTGTCCCCTGGATCCCTCTGCAGAGTCCCACACGTGTTTCCAGTGGTTTAACTTACATCCTCACTTGAATTATTGAACAGTCAGCCTTTCCTGGACACTGTGGAGGAACTAAGTTCTTCCCACCTGGTTGATTCTTTTTTGTTTGTTTGTTTTAAAATTTAATTGGAGGCTAATTGCTCTACAACGTTGTGTTGGTTTCTGCTGTAGAACAGTGTGAATCAGACATAGGCATACATATGTCCCCTACCTCTTGAACCTAGCTCCCACCCACCCCCACCCCCTGGCTGACTCTTAACAGGGTCTTAACCTGTCTTCCTGCTTCATCTGTTTTCCCACTTAGTGCTTTCATCAGTCCAGTTTGTAAACACATACCGAATCCCTAGTGGGGTCAGATAATTTTTCTAAAGCCATGATTCTAGTTATTTTTTCTCAGCTGAAAATCTTCAGAGTTTTCTTGTGCCAGTTTTTTTTTTTTTAATTGAGGTATAACTGACAACATTATATTCATTTCAGGTGTGCAACATAATGATTCAGTATTTGTATATGCTGCAGTGTGGTCACCACAATAAGTCCAATTAACATTCAGCACCATGTGAAAGTGAAAGTCACTCAGTTATGTCCGACTCTTTGCAACCCCATGGACTGTAGCCCACCAGGCTCCTCTGTCCATGAAATTCTCCAGGCAAGAATACTGGAGTGGGTTGCCATTTCCTTCTTGATCTTCCTGACCCAAGGATTGAACCCAGGTCTCCCGCATTGCAGGCAGATTCTTAATCATCTGAGCCACCAGGGAAGCCCACTCAGCACTATATATACTCACAAATTCTTTTTCTTATTTTCAACGTCCTCTCTGGTAGCTACTTTCATATCCAATGCAGTGTTATTATTTAAATTAAAAAACACTTTACCTTATATTGGAGTATAGCTGATTAACAAGTAGTGATAGTTTCAGGTGCAAAGCAGAGCAACTCAGCTGTCCATCTACATGTATCCATTCTCCCCCAGACTCACCTCCCATTCAGGCTGCCACATAACACAATGCAGTGTTATAACTAAGGTCACCATGCCGCACATTACATCTTCATGACTTACTCATTTTGTAACTGGAACTTTGTACCTTTTGACCCCCGTCACCCATATCACTGCTCTCCCCTTCCGCCTCCCACCTTAGGCAGCTACCAGTCTGTCTTCTGTATCCATGAGCTCACAGCTTTTTTTTTTTTGGTGGAAGCCCTAGAGTGTCACATACAAGTGAGATTGTGCAGTATTCTTTTTGTCTGACTTATTCCACTTAGCACAATGTCCTCCAAGTCTCCCCATGTTACTGCAGGTTCCTTTTGAGTGTTAAATTGAGTTAACTTTCTCAGCTGGCATCCCAGACCCCTTCTTGACCATTCCTCTTTCATTCCTAACAGCCAGGCCAAGTCCCCAACTTGTCACTCCCCCTGCATGCTTTATACTCATCTGTAGGATGTAGTAAAGCTGTTAGCTGCTTGTAACCATTTAAATGTAAATTAACTAAAATTATTAATAAAGTTTAAAATTTAGTTGCTCAGTTACAGTAGCCACATTGCAAGTGCTCAGTACCCACATGTGACTTGTTGCTACCTATTAGACAGTACAGACAAAGACTCTTCCATCATCACTAAAAGTTCTCTTGGATGGCCCTGGTTTGGTTCCTTTTGTTTCTCTTCCTTCTGGCTGAACTGATGATCTTCCCACCATCGCCTCACCTCCTCTTCTCCTCTACCTGTAAAAACATTCTCCTTCTTCCAGGGCCCCCACCTCAAGTTCCACTTGTTCACGTAGCCTCCCCTGTTCATTTCTTTATGAATGAGATGCCTACCCCAACCACTTTAGAGCCTCAGTAACATTTTAAATGTTTTTTCTTTATGAAACCTACCCATTTTTTTCATCATCTTGTAACCACTTATGTCCTTATCTCATTTCCAGTACTGAACTGGAAGCCTTTTTGAAGTAAAGAGTACTTATTCTGTGCTCAGTACCGTGGGAGTTCAATAAACAATTGTTGAATTGAATACCTAGGGAAGAGAATGCTTCTTCTTTCGTTTCTTTTCTGGAATCAGCAAGCACAGTGAATGTCTCAAATTCTTTGCTTTTTTCTTTCCTTCTGTAACCACACAGACAGACCCCTTCTGTAAGACCCCCCACCCCACCCTTTGCCTGCCTGTGCAGGTGGTCACGGCGGACACAGTCCATCTTAGAGCCAGTGCTGCTGACATCAGGGCCAAGGAGAGCAGCTGGCTGCAGCATTACAGACATGATCCTCCAGCTTGGACTGTGGGGCAGCACGTGGAGGTGGGATGTGGGGGAGGGGATAATAGACCGAGGGCTTCCCAGGTGTGCTAGTGGTAAAGAACCTGCCCGGCAATGCAGGAGACATGAGAGACGCGAGTTCGATCCCTGGGTTGGGAAGATCCACTGGAGGAGGGCATGGCAACCCACTCCAGTATTCATGCTTGAATCCCATGGACAGAGGAGCCTGGTGGACTATGGTTCATAGGGTCACAGAGTCGGACACGACTGAAATGACTTAACACAGCATAGCACAGTAACAGATGGCTGAGTGAGGGGCAGGCAGAGTACAAACCTCAGACTTTAGAGAAGTGAGCCCAGAAGAAATGACTGGAATGATAGAGGTGAACCAAGTCAGGGACGTGGCGAGGCTCAGGATGGGGCGCCACAACGTATTGTTCTCCGCTGGACCCCGGACGAGCCTCCTGGGTAGTTTCTTCTGCCTGGCTAGGTGTGCTTATGGTGGCGTTTCTCGCCCAAAGCTACCAGCCCCGAGGGAGAGGATCCCCTCAAACATTCGTCAGCATGATTTCCAGACACTTGAGGGGCATTCGGGGGCTGGCCTCTTTTCTCCGGTGTAGGTGCCCCGGGGAGCTGAACGTGTTGCTGTTTCCTGCTCATTGACTGTGGGGGGCGACCAGAAGGTGCGAGTGCGTGTGTGAGTGTGTGGGTGTGCCCATGTGACACGTGTGTTCTGTAGTGGGGGACGCAGGAGCTGTGAGAGGAGTTTTACTCAAGCTCTTTGTCTTTCCAGGCTCATTCTGCAGAGAGAGAAGCACTTCCATTATCTGAAAAGAGGCCTCCGACAGCTGACAGACGCCTATGAGGTAAACGCCTCGCCCAGGAGCTCTCTCTTCCAGATTATCAGCCTTAATCTTTCTTTTCTTTTCTTCTGTTGGGACGTAAAAGGCATGTATGAGCTTGACCTGTTGCAGATTCACTCACTGTCCCCGTGGCTCTGGTATGATCTGGGTGCACAGCCGCCTGGCCCCACAGAGCTGGGATGCCTACTTTTGAAAGGACAGAACTGGAGCTTCTCTAGTCTCTCCCTGCTCAGAGCTACTGGAGCCCCCCGCTCGGGGTGGGGGGACTTCCTTCCACCCAGATCGTGGCTGAGCGGGGTTCATGGGCATTCTTCTAGGCGCTCTTTGACCATTAGCTCAAAGGCAGTCTAGATATCCTCACCTGTTTATCTTCACCCCATTGTCCTGTAAGCAGATCTAATTTCTCTACTGGCCAAAGCACCAGTATAGAAGTCCCAGAGAGTACTCTACAATTTAACACGGTAAAAATGCCCAGACATGAAGTGGATTTTAAGTCAATATTCCTTAGAGCCCTCGGGGTCCACGAAGGGGCTCGGAGGAGGGCAGCCGAGGTGGAGGGCAAGGGTGCTGGGACTAGGGGCTGAGTGACAGGCAGAGGGTAAATGTGAACCAGAGGCTGCAGTCTTCCCGCCCCACTTTCCACAGAGCAACTCTGCTTTTAACTTGCTTTTTATTTGGGCCACATTTGATTATTTATGGCAGGGATTTGGGCCTATAGACTCAAGCAGGTGGCATAAGCCAGGGATGTGGGCTTGGTTGTGGTGGTGGGTGATGGTGGGGGGAGTAGAACTGAGGCAAATCGGAGGGCCATGTTTTTACTCTGTTCCTGCCAGTTGCTGTCAAACAGCATTGCAGACCCAGGATTGCCAGATCTCTTCTTGTTCTTTCAAATGAAGCCAGAAATTCAGATTTCTCTATGGATCTCTCAACTTGTAGCTGTTACAACTAATTCTAATCAAACAAACAAAACACTGCAGGGAACAACCAGAACACATCTCCGGGCTACATCTGGCCTGTGGACTTTCAGTAATCAATCCTTGATGGTTAGGGTCAGGTCAGTCCTGATACAGTTAATACCATGACAGCCAGCAGTTCACCGAATAGTGTGCTAAAAGTTGTCATTCATTGTCTCATTTAATCCTCACAGCTAGTCCAGGAGGTAGGTAAGTATCTTTTTCTAGATTAGGAAACAGGCTTAGCAAGATTAATTAATTAATTTTCTCAAAGGCATATAGCTGGTGAGGGGCTTCCCAAGGGACTCAATGGTAAAGAATCCACCTGCCATGCAGGAGACATGGGTTCGTTACCTGGGTCAGGAATATGCCTTGGAGAAGGAAATGGCAACCCACTCCAGTGTTCTTACCTGGGAATCCCATGGATAGAGGAGCCTGGCAGGCTACAGTCCATGGGCGTCACAAAGAGTTGGACATGACCTAGTGACTAAACCACCACCACCACGTAGCTAATGAGAGAAGGAGCTAGCACTGAAACCCACAGCAACATCATCTTGTCTGCACACCAGCTGCCCTTAGGTGGTGAGCAAGCATATTTATGTGTGTGTTTATGAAGAGGGCAGCTTAGGCCAATGAAAAGAGCACTGGATCGAGAGTCTAGAAACCTGGATTCTTGTCTCTAGAAACCTCTTGTCTCTAGAAACCGGGATTCTAGAAACCTGGATTTACTGTCTTTGTCATCTGGAAAAAGTTCATCTCTCTGGATCTCATTTATACACTTCAGATTTATAAAACTGGGGCAATAATGCTACCAGCCTGCCTAGGCTTGAATGCTTGAATATTTATGGCTTGAATTAAGATCAAGACCTGTTCACAGGTCACCTTTGGAAACATTTTCCAGCTGCTCAGGCAGAATTAGCCAGTTTCTTCCATGTGTCCATTATAGCATTTACCTAGCTCTGTGTAGGTACTTGTTTTGTTCTGCCTTATTCCAGAAAGACACTTGTACTTCCGTGTCTGTCTAATACCCTCCTCCTCTGCAGATAACCGCACACATTCTAACCCAAGCACCTCAAGAGAGGGAACTGAATTTTATTCATTCTTGTGCCACTAGTGCCGGGCATGGGGAGACACTTGTTAAATATTTGTTAAATCAATAAACCAGTTAACGTAGGAAATCCTTCCCTGTAATTGTGGCTCTCCTTGGGTCTACACCGAGAAAACAGTGGCGCTTGAGTTTCTGCCGTGTGAGAAGTCCTCTGCTTGGCTTCTTTCAGTGCCTGCCAGGGAAGAACCCATTGGGTTCAGGTTAAACCCCTTTGTCTGTTGTCCTTTGCTCACATATGGTCACCTCAGCTCTGGGCTAAGGCCTCCAGGAAGAGTGTCCTTCATCCCTCTGAGGTGGCCCTTCTCCTCCTTGCCAGGCGGCTGGGAGGGAGACAGATGTCGCCTTGTCAGCAGGGTCTTGGAACGATTCTGAATAAGGGGTGTGTTTTCTGCCCTGCTCCTTTCACAGTGTCTGGATGCCAGCCGCCCATGGCTCTGCTACTGGATCCTGCATAGCCTGGAACTCCTGGATGAGCCCATCCCCCAGATGGTGGCCACAGAGTGAGTCTGGCTTTGGGGCACCCTGGGTGTCCCTTGAAATTGGGTTTTGAGTTCAGGGGTTCTTTTTGTTCAGTTTCTATTTTATTTATTTTGAATGAAAAACACAAGGGTGCTGCAAAGAAAATCGTTGCCCTTCTCTTGACCTCCAGTAACTTCCTGAAACTCCTCCACTTCAGAAGCCTGTTGTGTGCTCGTGGGTAGAATAAGACTTTGAACTTCCAAGAGAAGGATTCTGTTTCTTTTGTGGCCTTTTCTCTGGGCTCTTGCTCTGGTCTTTGAGAAAAGTCTTCATCAACGCCGTAGAAACCTGATTTTTCCAGAAAGTACAGTATACATTTGAATAGCTTCTGTGGGGATGCGTGTGGCAACCCAGTGGACAAAAATGCCTTTGCTTTCCATAAGTACCTGCCCAGAAGTTCCTCCTTACCAATGCCTGGGGGATGGTATGGCTCTTGATGGCAGTGGATGTGTTACCGGCTTGGTGTACAGATGTCAGGACATCGTTTTCCTAAACTTCTCATTAATGATTAGAGATCTAAGCAACTATTGAATAAGATTCTTCCCAAAGCGCTTCTGCAGAGGGTGTCCTCATTGTGGCTCCTCATCCCTTCACACTTCATATATATAAAGGTTTGTCTGCCGGCAGTGCACAGGGACAGCTGTGCCGGGATGCATGGAGGCCAGCCCATGCTCCTCCCTGGCCACAGTCCCTCTGCCTGGGTCACGCTGTCAGGTCACAAGAACAGAAACACACATTGTCTCATTCATTCCGTCTTAACAATAACCTCTCATTCTTGCCTTCCTGGGCAGGGTGTCTTGTGATGAATGTGGATAGGAAAGATAATAAAGAATTAGGCCATTAACCCTTGTGATGTGTACAGTGCTTTCAGAGGGAGAGGAAAAATATGCATTGTCTTCCACATCACAGGGCTGCTGCAAGCTGAGTTGCTTCTAGCTCTGGATGTAGAGTTGGACACAGTTTCTGCAGAAACAGAAATTTAATTGTCAAAATAAAGGCCTGTGTGTTTTTGAAATACCAGTTGGGGGTTGTGGATTGTTTGGGAAGTTCCCCCCACCCCTCACATACACAGTCAGGATTGATGGAATGGGAAAATCGGATGTGAGAGAGGACAGAAGAACGGGGAGGAGTCGGCGAGAGTGAAGTACAGACGCCCCCTAGAGGATCAGCGGTTTGGAGCAGGAAGCAGGCCTCCTGCGGATGCTGAGCGATCTGAAGTGGGAAGATGATAAAGGGCTTCCTGAAGTGGAAGGACTTGGATCAGCATCAATTTTGAGTTTTGTCTAGGTTGTATACTTGGTGTTGTATGTTATTCCGTCGCTCAGCCCTGTCCGACGCTTTGTGACCCCATGGTCTGCAGCATACCAGTCTTCCCTGTCCTTCACCATCTCCTAGAGCTTGCTCAAACTCATGTCCATCGAGTCAGTGATGCCATCCAACCATCTCATCCTCTGTCATCCCCTTCTCCTCCTGCCTTCAGTATTTCCCAGCATCAGGGTCTTTTCTAATGAGTCAGCTCTTCGCATCAGGTGGCCAAAGTATTGGAGCTTCAGCATCAGTCCTTCCAATGAATATTCCAGAATGATTTCCTTTAGGATTGACTGGTTTGATCTCCTTGCAGTCCAAGGGACTCTCAAGAGTGTTCTCCAACACCACAGTTTCAAAGAATCAATTCTTCGGTGCTTTATGGTGTTGTATAGGTAAAGCTTTTCTGAGGAAATAAATGTTGGAGCAGCTTTTGTGGCAATATCAGCTAGGAAGAGAGGGCCCGTTGAAGGGCTTTTCACACTAAACAATTGGAGACAACCTAAATATCAACAGTTGGGGATGCCATAAGTGTAAAGTTTAGGTGAAGCCTCTATGTCATGATACATACAGTGAAATATTATGCAGCCACTTAAAAATTAAAAAGTTAGCAGGTGTTCGGTAGGCCTATGATGATCATTTCACAGTATATACAAATATCAAATCATAACGTTGTACACCTGAACCTAATATAATGTTATGTGTCAGTTGTACCACAATTAAAAATTTGTGTATATACATAATTGTGTGTATTTATATATGGGCTTCACTGGTGGCTCAGACGGTAAGGAATCCGCCTGCAGTACGGGAGACCTAGGTTCGATCCCTAGGTTAGGAAGATCCCCTGGAGAAGGGAAAGGCTACCCACTCCCATATTCTGGCCTGGAGAATTCCATGGACTGTACAGTCCATGGGGTCACAAAGAGTTGAACACGACTGAGTGACTTTCACTATACTGTACTATATTTATATATAAAAATGTGTGTGTTAATAGAGATACTCATGATTTAAATGAAAAAAGGTAGGTAAAGATTCATTTTTTATAGATTAAAATTGAAGGTGGTTCTACACATAGGAAAAAACATAATGTATATATACACATGATAGGAGTTGTTTGTGTGGATGATGGGGCTAAAGGTAATTTTTTTCTTTTCTAATCTTATTTGCATTTTCTAAAATTTCTACGATGAATCTATTGCTTTGTAATCAAAAGAATGTTTTAAAATTTAAAAGCTGATTTGTCCTGTTTGCAAGAGTCACTTGATAGTTAATGACTGAAATTTTCTGTTTCACAGCCACCTTCAAAGCTTTACCTGTGGTTCTTCTGAACATCAATTTAACAAACTTTTAAAGAATTACTTAGACTTTCCAATAATGAACTTTGTTCTATGCCTAGCAGGCAATTAATTCTAGGTGCCAATAGTATTTGTTATGAACAGAGCCTAGTAGCTTGACTTATAAGAGGATAAACTCTTTTTAGTAAGAAATTGAGAAATCTTAATGACTTCTATTAAAATATGGGGATTTTTTTTTTTAAAGACTACCTAATTTTGGAGATTGCCTTTTTATTTATTTTGCACAGGGAGAAGAAATACTTTGAAAATATGGTCAGGTTTTTTTTTTTTTCCTTCTTCTTTATACAAATGTTACGGTGACATAGAGGGTGTGTTTAGCTCTGGTGTTTGTTCTTCTACTGTCCTCTCTGCCCTCTGACCTAGTGTGCAACACACACACAGTCACACACATGGGTTTCTTTCTCTTTCCTATTTTGTTCACATTTGTGCTTCTGTTTGTCCTGGGAACAATATGACAAGCTGAGGTCCCTCTAGTGGACAAACCAGTTTTGTTAGCTCCTGTGACTGCTGACCAGAGCCAGCAAAGCCAGGCTTTTACTGCTGGTGTCAGACCTTTCAAAGATAATATATTCATTTCAAGAATAATATATTTAATACCAATATATTTATAGGAATTAAGTGTGCCCTTCTTAAGAGATTGTATCCATAAATTTACATGTGTGTTTACCTCAAATAAATTAATATTTTGGAGCTACACGAAGTGCATTTGCCTTATTAATGACTTTAGCATTGAAGGAAGCATTTTTAAAATGAGAATCCCATGCTTCGTTATTGAAAGCTACTTAATGAAACACATGGAGTAAAATGAAAACCACAGGGAAACCATGGCAGTGTTAAGTTAGGTCTTTAACTTCTATAAGATCTGAAAATTATCTTTAGCTTAAAAATTGTTTTAGGACCTTTCCATTTGTGAAGTTTTTCCAAAGATTAAATTTAAATTTTTATGTGCCAGTGTTTTGTTATTTCCCTTTCGAAAGTTTATCAGTAGCTTGTCCCTTGAATAGCTCCTTAAATTTATCTCTCCTTTTAATTTTAAATTTAGTGCGTCTGTTTCCTTATCTTTCAGTGAAGATAGCTTGTGTCTTCTTTTGTCTTCTGGGCATTTTTTGGCCAGGCGTTGCTGGCATCTAATAGGGAGAGGTCAGGGATGCTGCTGAATGTTCTCCACAGGGCAGTCCCTACAACAAAGAATTGTCCAGCCCAAGATATCAGTAGTGCCACAGTGGTGACACTCTGCTTTAAAGTAACCAACTTTAGTTTTTCTTAAATCTAAACTAAATTCTTCTTTAAACTAAATTCTTCTTGCTATAGAGTAGCTTTAATTTTTGTTTCTTTACTGAAAATTTGTGAAATTATCCTTTGTATTTTTTAAGTCGCTTAGTTGTGTCCAACTCTTTGCAACCCCAGGGACTGTAGCCTCCGGGCTCCTCTGTCCATGAAGTTCTCTAGTCCAGAATACTGGAGTGGGTAGCTGTTCCCTTCTCCAGGGGATCTTCCCGACCCAGGGATCGAACCCAGGTCTCCCACACTGCAGGTAGTTTCTTTACTATCTGAGCCACCAGGGAAGCCCTATCCTTGGTATACTTGAGGTACTTTGCTGGGTAGCTCCCTCACTGTGGTATTCTGTAATAGTAAACCTTGGAATCAGTTCTGTATTGAGACATTTTTACAACTCTGTTCTCAATTTCCTTTGAGTTGGAAAATGGAGTCTTGAACCAGTTATAGTTCTGACCAATACTGTGTTTATGATGCTTTTAAGAAGCATTTTCATTAGTGTTCACAACTCATGAACCCTAACCTCTGGTCCTTTTTCTGCTGAGTTCCTAGTTATTTCCCACTTTACATACTTTGCCCCCCACCCCTGCCATCCCTGAGTACATTACTTGCTACTTATATCTGCTTCATTTGTTTTATTCTTTATTTGTTATTTTTGGCTGCACTGGGTCTTCATTGCTGCATGCGGGTTTTCTCTAGTTGCAGAGAGCAGTGGCTGCTCTTCGTTGCAGTGCACAGGCTTCTCATTGTGGTGGCTTCTCTTGTTGAGGAGCGTGGGCTCTAGGGCATGTGGGCATCTATAGTTGCGGGTCACAGGCTCAGTTGCTGCAAGGCATGCGGGATCCTCCTGGACCAGGGATCAAACCCGTGTCCCGTGCATTGGTAGGTGGATTCTCAACCACTGGGCCACCAGGGAACTCCCTCATTTGTTTTATTCTTGTTGACTTCTGATTTGTTTAATATTATTCTGGACTTCCTCTCCTTAGAGATTTCCCTGCTTGTTTTGATTATTTGCTTACATACTATGCATGCTTTTAAGTCCTTCA